CGAAGAATCTATTCTAATTAGAAATCGATTTCTGTATCTTTAGCCAAATATATCTGTGACTTTTAACTTATTCTTATTTTAATTTTTAAAAATACTGTATATACAAAAGATTAATTTATTAAGAAAACTACGTTAATTCTGGAAATGTCTTCTCCGTAACACATCCATTATTTACATTTAAAATATATTTAAATCGATACAATTCTCTATGTTTATTTTGTGGATTTTCTTTCTGTCCTTTTAATATATAAATTAATCGTCTTGAAAGTTTTACATTTTATACAATTACTTGTTTAGTAAATAAAAAAAAAATTATAATATAACACTATACACAAAATGCTATTTCTTTCCTAATTTAAATGTTCTTTCAAGCTTAAATACATTTTTAAAAATAAAATGTGTAGGCCAAATTTATATTTTAAAGTTTAAAAGATATAAAAGCGAGTTGTTTACATGTACAGTACGTAATAAAAATGCTTTTGGTACTGTCAGCCAACAGCATTAAAAATTAATTACAGGCCATCTACTTTTTAATAAAATAAGTTTCTGAGAATTATTCGTCCGGCAATAAAAAATGGTAAATTTTCTTTAAAGTGATGCAATATTTTATATAAAATTTAAATAGAAAAAGTTTAATAATTAACGAGCTCAATTTGTTTAAAAATAATATACACTTAATACGAGTATTATTACTTTGTGTCACGTTGTATGGACAAGCATTTAAAAAAATGCATTTATCTAAAAAAAATTTATATTAAGAAGTTGAAAATATTTAAAATACTTTTGTTAAAGTTAATGTAATTTTTCTTTCATCATGTATGATTCCAATTTAAAATTATTATAGCTTTTAAAAACAATGTCAATAAACCTTAAAATATTTTATTTTAAAAATAGCATCTTTAATTTTAGATTTAGAGGCGACTACAGTATAACAAATGAATATATCAATATATGACTAAGTTATAATTTTAATATGAAAAATGCCATATTAGTGAATGACATGCTTTTGTCAGCAAGAATAATTTTTAAATTGTTTCAAGAATAAAATACTTAATAAAGATTTTTATATTCTACACTTTTCGTTATTTATTATATGAATATTACATATACATAGTATGATCGGTTTGGTGTTTTGTCATATAGGTTTTTGTGCATTAAATTCATTTTTTTCTATTATATGTTATCTATCTTCGGTTCTTAAATTTACAGTGAATCAGTTCGGCTTTTAAGTTATCAATTAGTGTAATTTTCCTCTTTCCTTTCTTTTTGCAACTCGCCATCATTCCTTCAATTACAATTCTCAGCAAGCAGTCAGTCTCTTCCCCAGATGTGGTTAATTCAATTTTTCTTTTTCGTTTTGATTTCATTCAGTAATACTTTCCCTTCTCTCATTTTTTAAATGATGAGTCATTATTCTTAACCAAATTCCTCTAGCTCTTTATTCCACCCTTCTTCATATCCATATCTTAAAGATTTCAAGTAGTTCACCATTTTTCTTCTTTAATGTTAAAGTTCTACTCTATACAATACGAGTAATACACTGCAGACAACATTTAATCAGCTTTTTCATTTCTTTCTTCAGCCATTTCCATAAAAATCTTTTGTTTTTGTTAAATGACTTTTTTTACAATCCTCTTCTTTTAATTTCTTCATTACTTTTTCCGTCATTATACATCTCAAATATTGAAAACCTATTTAATTTTCTTTCAGATGAATAAAGATTAAAATAGACTACTGTATATCTTAATGTTTATCCATGTCTTATTTCATCTAGCCCAATTTTTATTTCATTTACAGTTATATCACTTCTATAATTTTCATATTATCCTTCTGTTTTCTTTATTTGATATATTCAATATTTCTTTTTCTTGTAGATTATTATAAATGAACACTAATTTGTATCTCTCTTATTCTGTAATTTTTTTTTTTTCAGTTTTCTTTCAATTGTTGTTTTCTTGCTTGTCTGTCTTCATCAGCTCATTATTGACTTTTTTAAATAAAATATTTTTATTTTACACACTATTCGTATTCTTATACCTTCTTCTTTTTTTTTCATTTTTAATGACATTTCTTCGATTAGCCAAGAAATTTTTGCTTTTTTCCCGAACTAATTCTAGAATATTTCTTTTATACATTTTTTTCTAATATTTTTTAGAATCATTCAAATATGCATGTTTATTGACATTTTAAATCTTATTATCACATAATTTATTTTTTTCAATTTTTCTATATTTCATTCTTCATATTTTCCCTCTTCTACGCTCCCATTTTGACCATGGCCGAACCACAATGAATATGAAAAAAGGCCTTCTTAATCTCTACAGGTTGGAAAGAGTTTAAAAAAACTATTCTTTAGTTTTACATTTACTTTGACCAAAATACAAGTAAGATTATGATAAAAAAATATGCTCCAAGACAAGCATAGACACTTTTATATGGATACTTTATTGTTATATGTCTGCTTTTTTGTTTTTTAAAGAATCTAAATATATATTTTTCTATTGTAGTTATCAAATTAAATATTGATATTTAAATCAAAAGTAGAAATTTTTACTGACTCAGTTGCTAAAGTGAAATAGGATAATTGGTCCAATTTTGTCTCTCCAGGTTTTATGGGATTCCCTAGGCCCCATAAAACCTTGGGGATCGTATTTCTAAATGTTTTCCTGTTCTGTGGCTCATTTAAAAATACGGCCCCGTAGATTCTCAATATACAAGCGCTCCCTAAATTAATAGTGCCACTTTTTCACCAAATGATTCTGTTATATAATTTTAATTCTGCAAGATTTGTATCTTTACAGATTTTTAAATATCGAAAGCGCAAAGGATATCGCCATTGAAAACCCGCTATTAGTACTGTCATACTGTTCATGAAAAATATATTAATATTTCAATATTACTCAACTGTAATAATGTAACTCTTATTTTATTCCTACTTTTAATTTTCACTGGTTCTTTTATGAATAACATTCTTTTATTGTTGTTATTATTATTATTATTTTGAACTTTTGCGTCCCTCAATTATTGCGGTTCTAGGCCTGGCTTAGTGGGTCTAATGAGAAAATGTGCCACTGTCTGTAATTCCAAAAACACCAAAAAGGAACAAAATTCTGTGTCTGGATGTACAGTACAGTACGTGTATACGTCTATAACTGTGTGTATGGACCTGTAATTTCTTTTTATCTCAGGACTCCGTGGACCAAAACTTTTAAAATTTAGCAGGAATACTTCTATAAATGGTATATTAATGCTATTAAATTTTGGAAATTATAAGTCAAGGAAGAGAGAGATAGAGGGGATAATGTAATCACATTTCGAATGGCGTTAGGCTTAAAAATATTTTACTTGTTATTAGCATTTACAAGTTTTTTTAAAACAAAACTCGCCCCTGACTCCAAAAATAAGGCTTTTGCCTTTTATAATAATTAATATTACAAAAAAATTATTTTTTATAAATTCTCATAACAGATGGCGCCACACAATATTTCCATTGCCACACGTTCGAGTGCCGAGAAAGCCATGCAAGAGTGAGTCCTTGTTAGCTTTTTAAAGAACATTACTAATTTTATATTAAAAAAATTAAATTTTATTGACTTACAAATTTTTCCCATTTCATTTTCCTACTCTTTATCATTTTCAAATTTCCAGTTTTAATGCTTACTCTGATATTAAAATAAATAATTTATAACTCATCAGTATTATAATGACCACAAGAGACAGCTGGATGGCAGCCTACCACTCTGAGGTATCCGAGATCTCATCCTTCCCTCCCCACCCGGTCGTCCCATTTTGGGCTTGGTCGAACCCATAATGGGCTTGCTAAAAGAGGCCCTTTTAGTGCCGAAAGGGAGGAAAGAGTTAAGGATATAACCTTTTGCTGTGACGATGCTTGCTTTCCTGATTTATTATCATGAGGTCATTGCTTCATCTAAAACTTCCTGTAGTTGTGGCCTATGCAATGTGCACTTTATTCACATGTTGAGTCTTATTGTCAAATCTGCTTCCAGTATTCTTACGCCCTAACTTCCAAAAGTTTCCTTTATTTAGATGTTTTCGTTCAGCTTTACTTTCAACCTGATACCATCAGTTTTGGGGGAATTTAAATGTTTTTCAGTCATTAATAACTTCGTAACAGAATAGCTTTCATGGTAATTCTGACTACCTGAATACGTGTCACATGATAACTGATTGACCAATAATGTTCCAAAATTTAAAAATTGGGCTATTGTTTTATAAATATTCAATATTTTTAAACAGAACCTTCAAGAGTGTAAATAGAATTCAGTCAGCTCTCAAACGAGCTGGACATATATACAGACTCCTTCTGCACTGTTCGGTAGCTCGGTGTCGCTATTTTCTCTGTTGTAAATCTAGGCGACAAAATGCTGATTGCGTAAGTTCAAAATGATTCAATAAATTTACTCGACATTTAAGACGTCCAGAGCACTCGTTACTGACACTAAATATTTTAAATTTCATCCAAATCCGTTCATTGGCAGTGGAGATATTAAGGATCAAAGTTGGCACTTTAACACGCGTAGCAGAGCTTTACTATAGATAACTACTCCGCTCTATGATATTAATAACGTTAATGACGTTTTACTTAAAGGCTATGAAGTACTGTTTCTAACAAACAGTTCACTGTTAACATTAGTTTCATTGTNAATAAAATTGTTTGATAAAATATTATATTTTAACATTAAACTTTTACTGTATTAAAAATTCTTTTAATACAGTAAAACCTCTGAATAACGGCCACATGACCGTTCTTTAGAGGTTATTTTGTAGGCATTTAAAAAGAAACATTCCTGAAACAATGATCGTATAGAGATGGATATTTACAGATTCGACTGCATATTATTCTTACAAAAATTCATTTAAATAATAGAATTTTAGTTGTTTTAATTACTAGATATATTTTTAAAATTTGTTATTACTTTATTTAAGAATTTTAACGTTAAAAATTTAAAAATTTTAAGAAAAATTAATTTTAAATAATTTCATACTTGAAGTTTATCGATGTCCGTGATGGATCGAAATAAATTTCTTGCCTAAATAAAGACAAAGGTGGTTTTATAATTTAATATGTCAAATCAAAATTTTCTTTATGTTAGAAAGTTTATTAAGCTTAATTAAAATCATCTTAATAACAGCTTACCTGAGCGGTTGTAACATTAGCCAATACATCGAGTAAACATTCTCTTAACTATAGAAAATAGAAGAAAAATTTATAAATTAATTAATAAAGTTATAACATATTAGCACACTTGATAATTTTAAACCAGGTGTTTTAATAAATATTAAAATGAAATAAACTTACCTCTCTTGTGATAGTTCCATCGCATGTATTTTCGCATTCATTCCAAGCTTTTTGAGCCTAAAATATAATAATATTAACAAAATATTAATAAAAATGAGTAAAATCTGATTATGATTGATACTTCTTTTTTAATAGTATAAGTTTTATTAGTTTCTGATATAGGAAAATATTAACAAATAAAAATCGAAAATACAAACTTATTAAAAACATAAATATAGAAAAAGTATACCAGAATAAAAATGTTTGTTTATAAATGGCATAAACAAATTGAATTTAATTATTAATTTGAAAATAATAAATATAATTTACCAGATCTGGCATACAACTGCGAATTTTATCTCTCATTTCTAATGTAGTACAATTTTCTGGTACTGTAAAATAAATATAATTTTAAGTTTTTATATAAAATTTGAATCATTTACGTTATATACTAAATTAATAATTTTTATAAATAGAAATATTTAAACTAATACTAACCACACATCAAAGCTAACATGGAACGACCATTCGTAAGACGTTTAGTTGAAAAACGTTCTCTTACAAAACTCCCAGAATGTGCAAAAACTGCAAAAGCTGCTACAGATAATATCAAAAGTTTGAACATGTTGGTATTCAGATGTGAACAATGCTTCAAATACAAAGTTTCTGTGTTTATATATGGATTCTCTAAGGCTGTCTGTAGCTGTTATCCTCTATTGAATATTGTAAATGGCATGACCGAAATTCAAATTGCGGCACTTTCTGGAACAAAGTAGTAAAATTTGAATTATCCAATTCATAAAAGCAGCTGAACACATCAATTTATGAAAAGATAAGTTAAAATCACGTATTTTAACCATGAAAATAATTTTGTTTTCGTTCTATATTTATGCTGAACTATTTAATGTACCGTATATCCTTAATAACATATTCAAGGTTTCTGTTAAATTTTATGATAATAAACGCAATTAACTGTAATAAATAATCACATGACTATATTTATTATTACATAAATTACAATTATTAATTTCTTATTATATATTTATTTTTATTACGGTGATTATCGTACCTATTTACGTAATTTACAGTAACATCATTATAATTATGTTCTTATTATCGTTATTCAATTCATTATAATAATAATGAATAATCGTGCAATTACGGCACGTTATTAATGTAAATTATAAATTATTAAATAATATTAAATTAAATTTACTGTGTTTATTGTTTTCAGATACAGCACAGAACCTTAAAACGTTAGCGAATGAATATATATTATATCTATAAAGTTAGGCAATATTATAGAAATAGTTCTTAAATTTATTCATTATTAAATACTTATAAAACAATAATATAAATGTATTATTTAATATTAAAAATTACAAAGGTCGGTTCAAATTTAAAGCTGAATTATTCATTTTAATAAGATAATTCTTTATCGTGCGATCATATTTTGAATGTCTTAATATTCCCTAGAAGTATAGAAAATTTAAAAAATTTTTAATATTAACAAATAAAATATAAAGAATATACAGCAGTTAATTAATATGAGATTTTTAGAATTTTTTAAACAATTAATAAACTTAATTAGAACAAAATAAATTTTAACTATAACATTTTTATTCTAAGATTGTCTTCATATATATTAACAAAATAAAATGTCAAATAATTAGAGATAATTTTATTAAAGCTTAAATTACATAAATTTAAAATTAAGTTGAAAAATTTACAATTTTTGTAATTAATTTCATCAAAAAAAAATTTATAAATAATAATAAAATATGTTTTAAGTTTAAAAACTTTCGTTTAAATAATTTTCGTGTTGCCATCTTATAATACTATTGCAAAAATTAATAATATGTAAATACTTGGTTAACTTATATAATTAAGTAAAACTCTAATGACAAATAATGCAATTTCATTAAATTTAATTGAGAAAAATTCATTAGCATCAATTAAGAAAACCATTTTTAATATTCGTTAGAAAATTATATCAAACTTTATTTTGCAATTATTTTAATTTTAATATTGATTAAATGTTATAAAATAATTCTAAAGTAAATTAAAGCAAAGAACTTGGAGCAAAACATTTTTTTTCTGTAAGTGTATTACAAAGAAAATTTTATTTTTATATTTCATGTCAAATATCAAATAATATATTTATTCAGATGAGAAATTTCCTATAACAAATAAAAGAATAATATAGGTCAAAGACTCAATCAACGTAACCTAGTTTACTTACAATGAATCATTCAGAATACTATCCGTAATTTACGTCTTCAAATAATTCAAATATATATATATATATTTAAAAGTTAAAAAAAAAAAAAATAGTTTCTATATTAAATATATGGAATGCCTCACGAAAAATTTTATACATTTACAAAAACTTTGAAAATTATGAAGCATTACACCTACAATATAACAATTTTTTAGTTTAATATTTCCTATAAATATAGAAAATTTAACAAAGTTATGATATTAATAGAAAGTATTAAAATATACAAAATATAATTCATTATTATGAGATGTTTGTAATTTTTACTCATTAAAAATATTATTAGAACGATATAAATTTCGCTTGCGTTTTCGTTCTAAAAAGTTGTATTTATTTCTATTTCAATAAATAAATTAATTATAAAAATATTTTATAAATCTACAAAAATTAAATACAAATTTTATTCTAACAATTTAATTTAAATACATAAATATAAAAATTAATTACAATTTAATTTTTAACGATTATTTATTAGAGAAATCGAAAATGTAAAAAATACTGTTTATTATAAAAATTCTACAAATTAAACAATAAAATTACTGATATAAATAAAAATATTTATTATTTCTAAGTTCATTTTTATAATTTTGAATAAATATCGAGTATATTACTGGCTTAAATCTTCTAATTTTTAAAATATTCAAACTTAGATGTTTCATATATTGTGGAGAATAAAAATATAACATTAAATGTGTGAAAAATTTAACTCGAAAATTAAACATTAATACAAATAAAAATATCTGTCTTACATCTTTTCCAACCACAGGAACACAATCGACACTTAAGCAGAGTTAATCTTTTCTTTGAGGTTTTATGTAAATTGATTAAAAGTCGCTCTGAAAGAATTTAAAAATCCGGGAAGAACCTCAAAAAACAACCACTCTGCCAATGTTAAATATATTCCTGTGATTCGAAAAGATGTAAGAAGACTCTGTTAGCCATTAAAATTGTTACACCATGAAGGCTGCACGTAACAAACGCAAAATTCGCATGAAAGGTACAATATGCTGGGTGCTTTGTATCTCAAAATTACCTGTCAATTTTATCGTGTCTTCCTTCCATTATACTGTATGTGTACAATAAACATGATTCTGCTATTTGCTTTCCTTCCTGGTGTAGTAATTTTAATGACCCACAGTGTATATTTATTCTCCATTTTGTATTATTTTTAAATATATATTTTATCCTTAGATTTTTTAACTTTTTAAACGTTAAAAACTTACCTAAATATATCTTCCAAACTTTAAAATTGTTCATTTAAGTGATCTTTACAAAAATCCCAGAATTAAAAATGGTTAAACAGGAATATTACATCAAATAAAATATATAAACTATGAAGTAAATATTTTAAACTAAATATTTGAATTTATTCTTTAATATTCTAACTAAGCTATTTTTGTACTTATTTCTCTTTTCCCATATGAATTAAAGCTATTTACCTGTAATATTATACAACCACTTAAGTCTCGATGACTGAGGAGACCCCAAATTTTGTGAATTTATGTTATTTATTTCTAATAACTACGGACTTAAATTTATAATTATTAATAAATAGCTGTAAACAGTGAAAAAGATTCATAAATATAAAAATACATGAATATTAGTTAGCTATATTTTACACACACAAAAACTCCATTGTGTTCGAACTCAAATTCTCTAACTGGAATTAATCACCTCGGTCATTCGGCCAATCTTATAATAATATAAATGTTTCCAGTAATAGCATTGAAATATTTTTCCGCGTTATTACTGGATATTGATATCACTAATCCGCCACGATGATAAAAAAGGATGAAGCTTGATGCTCCGAGTCCTTCAGAGAAAGCTTTGTTTATACCCTAACATCTTGAAATTATTCGAAACTCTTTATATAAACAATTTGTATACAGTTAATTTTTAAACTTATTTTCATATTCTTCATTATTCATAAATATTTATTTAATAACGCGCCCTTTATGATGAAAAATAAAAAGAATTACCGTTCGAAGGACAGTACGAAGAATCTATTCTAATTAGAAATCGATTTCTGTATCTTTAGCCAAATATATCTGTGACTTTTAACTTATTCTTATTTTAATTTTTAAAAATACTGTATATACAAAAGATTAATTTATTAAGAAAACTACGTTAATTCTGGAAATGTCTTCTCCGTAACACATCCATTATTTACATTTAAAATATATTTAAATCGATACAATTCTCTATGTTTATTTTGTGGATTTTCTTTCTGTCCTTTTAATATATAAATTAATCGTCTTGAAAGTTTTACATTTTATACAATTACTTGTTTAGTAAATAAAAAAAAAATTATAATATAACACTATACACAAAATGCTATTTCTTTCCTAATTTAAATGTTCTTTCAAGCTTAAATACATTTTTAAAAATAAAATGTGTAGGCCAAATTTATATTTTAAAGTTTAAAAGATATAAAAGCGAGTTGTTTACATGTACAGTACGTAATAAAAATGCTTTTGGTACTGTCAGCCAACAGCATTAAAAATTAATTACAGGCCATCTACTTTTTAATAAAATAAGTTTCTGAGAATTATTCGTCCGGCAATAAAAAATGGTAAATTTTCTTTAAAGTGATGCAATATTTTATATAAAATTTAAATAGAAAAAGTTTAATAATTAACGAGCTCAATTTGTTTAAAAATAATATACACTTAATACGAGTATTATTACTTTGTGTCACGTTGTATGGACAAGCATTTAAAAAAATGCATTTATCTAAAAAAAATTTATATTAAGAAGTTGAAAATATTTAAAATACTTTTGTTAAAGTTAATGTAATTTTTCTTTCATCATGTATGATTCCAATTTAAAATTATTATAGCTTTTAAAAACAATGTCAATAAACCTTAAAATATTTTATTTTAAAAATAGCATCTTTAATTTTAGATTTAGAGGCGACTACAGTATAACAAATGAATATATCAATATATGACTAAGTTATAATTTTAATATGAAAAATGCCATATTAGTGAATGACATGCTTTTGTCAGCAAGAATAATTTTTAAATTGTTTCAAGAATAAAATACTTAATAAAGATTTTTATATTCTACACTTTTCGTTATTTATTATATGAATATTACATATACATAGTATGATCGGTTTGGTGTTTTGTCATATAGGTTTTTGTGCATTAAATTCATTTTTTTCTATTATATGTTATCTATCTTCGGTTCTTAAATTTACAGTGAATCAGTTCGGCTTTTAAGTTATCAATTAGTGTAATTTTCCTCTTTCCTTTCTTTTTGCAACTCGCCATCATTCCTTCAATTACAATTCTCAGCAAGCAGTCAGTCTCTTCCCCAGATGTGGTTAATTCAATTTTTCTTTTTCGTTTTGATTTCATTCAGTAATACTTTCCCTTCTCTCATTTTTTAAATGATGAGTCATTATTCTTAACCAAATTCCTCTAGCTCTTTATTCCACCCTTCTTCATATCCATATCTTAAAGATTTCAAGTAGTTCACCATTTTTCTTCTTTAATGTTAAAGTTCTACTCTATACAATACGAGTAATACATTGCGGACAACATTTAATCAGCTTTTTCATTTCTTTCTTCAGCCATTTCCATAAAAATCTTTTGTTTTTGTTAAATGACTTTTTTTACAATCCTCTTCTTTTAATTTCT